TAAAATAGTCAAAGGAAAATCATCTGGTCCAGCATAAGGGACATGGACATATTGCAGATACAGTTAATAATGCTAATAGGTCTTCTACAACTATAAATAGGTCAGAGATGCCAGGTGGTTTTTGACTCTTCTTCAAAAAATCAAGAGGTCTAGAAAAACAAACAAACAAAACAAAACAACAACAAAAAAAAAAGCAGAGGCATATCCCAAAAAGAACAGCAAGCATTTCAAATATGTGCCCAGCTCCTATGGCTATAGGCACAGCTGTGCATTGCATAGCATTACAGAATTAAAGCCCTTACCTGCACACATTCTAAATGTACAGCCAACATTAATGACACAGGCCATCTAGGAAGGATTAAGGATTGGTTATCATTTCAACCCAATGAAAGAAGACCTATATTTCTCTTTTAGACACATAATTCACAGGAGAATCATGCTTGCCAACACTCTCAAAAAATAATCTTTCAGAATTCTTGCAAACCCACTGTGTTATGATTTCATCTCATGAAATACAACACCTTTACATTAAACCTCATAAAACTAAACCCTGCTGGACTTCTTCCAGGCTCAGAGAATAAACAGCTATATCAGTGATGCCTAGAACAGTAAAATCTGGCCCACTGTCATATGGCATGTTCCCATTTACAGAGGGGAGCAGGTCTACAAACAGCTAATTCACTTTGCTATTACAAAATCCTCACATATAATGAATTTCTCACATAATTGGTCTAAGAAATACTTCAAGGGGGAAAAAAAAAAAAGAATGCTTTGAACACCATAAGATACATTTCTTTCTACTAGGCTTTAGGGTTTTTTTACCTATTCCCTGCCTTGCCCTTAATGAAATATGTGCTGCAGAGCTGCTCTGGTTTTTAGCGAGCAGGAGCAAGTATTGCTGCGCCTGGAACTCTGGCAGATAGCAAAGAGGGGAAATTTGTTGTCAAAACACTTCAAAAGCACAGATGATTATATCCGATGAGATTACTTTTTAAAGCTCTATTATTTTCCCTTTGCAGTCGAAGAGCCAGACAGATTCCTTTCAGCCTTGCTGGTCCCACCCAGAGCATGAGTAAGGAGGATGTTAAAATAACCCATACATGTACAATTTCACCAGGCAACACAGATCTAATGCAAAAACCCTCCTCGGGCACTCAGGGCAAATGCTCTCCATAAAGAATGGCATATAGCCAGACAACAAAAGCAATCTTCTGTGTGAAATAGACTCTTCCCTGTCCCCTGTGTGGAGCTATGTTTTAATCACCAAATCTGGACAGAGGTTGGCACGTCTTCATGTAGTTATACACCCGGATATGCAGATGTCACACATTGCTGCTGCCTTTCCAATCACTTAGTGAGCTAATTACATCTCAGGCATACCACAAGCATGTCATCTTCAGTGAAGAAGGACACTTGTTGCAAGCACAGGAAGAACTAAGGCAGATATTAACTGAGAACACCACTCACCAGGGTCTGAAATCCCCTAAGGTTCCCCTCCTCATTTTCTCCATTCTGACCACAGCACTACAGTTTTTAGTAGCCATGGCTGTAAGAGGATACTTCCATAGCAAAAGTGGGAGATTAATGGCACCATAAACTGCACATGGCTGGTAACACAAAGCAGAGGGAGGAACCCTGAATCGTGTGGGGAGGCAGAAGCCACCAAGGAAGGAACAAAGGTTACCTGGGAACTGTCAGGAGGTCCTTTTGGAAAAAAGCGGAAGAGTAACATCCTTTTTAAGATGGTTGACTGGATGATGTAATGGCTGGGCAAGGTCACTGACCCCGTCACTGGAAATAATTAGGAGGGCATATGCACTTGGAGCACAGTAGATTGCACTGCAAGGTCTCCACCAAGCAGAGGACTGTGGAAGACTCCTCTGCCGCCTGAGGGACACCACGCACCTGGGGTGGAGAACACAGGTGCCCTAGGAAGGCTCTCCATTGATTTTGAGCTACCCTGACCAGCAAGTTCACTTTTGTCAGGAAACTGCTGTATATGTAGTAGAGTCTCAGTGTGCACAAACACCCAAGGCTGGGAGGGGGAAATGGCAGCTGTTTACACACCTGACCATGCAAGATGCCCTAACTCTCCAGGTGGATAATGACCCCACTGCGGAATGCGCCGCTCCTAGTAAGGGCACACAATGCCTGACTGCACAACGCAGCATCCAGTGAAATCCATGCATCCACTGG